AAAAAATAAGAAATTTAAAAAAGAAAAGAAAAAATGTCACGAGCCATTTTAGTCTGTGAAGGTGGATGATCAGCGAAGCTGTTTAGCACAAGACACAGGCATGGAACAGAATTTTGAACAAGGGTACGAACACATTTATCGTCTTGTTTTTCACCATCTAGAGTAATGAAGGCCTCCGAACGCCCCACTCTTCCTCCATGGAGCGCCATCACAGTCGGATGGCGCCAACTCAGCAACTGGACCCGAGCCAGATGTCGAGCGTCCTTCAACGCGTTCATTGGACACGACGCCCAGCCGAGCACTGACACTCGCGTACAGCCTGTGCCTCCGCTCGATCTCACTGTGATGACGTCAATATACTAGCGCACAGCTTTGATTATTCTAGGTGAGCAGGCCGCGAGCCGATTTGGGATGGATTGGGTCAAAGCTTTTGGTGACGTGTTCAAAGCAGCTTACGTGTCATCACACGTCACACTCTCACACCCCTTGAGCAGCGAAATTGTTTCCGCTCTATGCCGCGCTTTTTCCTAGTTAGTTTCGATTTCACGCTGCCGTGATTTCCGAGATTCGCCATGCAATAACTCGAACTAGAATTTTGTTTTCTGAGACCTCTTAAGCGCTTCCGCCTCAGTGAAGGACGGGCTGCAAATCTCTAGTTGAAAAATGCTAGCTAAAGCAAAAGGCTAAAACGTTGATTAGTAACTTTTCGTTAATTAAGTATCCAATGAACACTTTACACTTGCGTCCTTACGTCCGCCGCCGTAGACAACGTAATCCCGAAGGAATCGTGTCTTTTTACAAGTTCTTAAAAAAAAAAAAAAAAACAAATACTGTCACTTTTACGTGGTATAAGAAAATTTATATAATGTTGACATAGGCAATTAACCATTCTATAGAATATGATAAAAGACAAGTTACGTAGATAAGCAAGGCACTCGGGCGAACATCTTTGGTTATTAAAGGGGCTTATGACAATGAGATCCGAGAACATTTCTGGGACATTTTGAAGTCCCCAAAGGTCGAAGATGAAATAATGAATCGCTTAGGAGATGTTTATGTACACATCAAGGTCCTGATAACACGGGGAGACAATATTACAGAAGCGGGAAAGATAAAACGAGGACTGGGAGAGGGACACCCGTGATGGCCTACAGTCAAAGGCTTTTCTCTACTGCTTCTAGTGAAAATTGACTTTGGCTATTGGCTTTGGTACTGTAAACCAAACGGTCATAAAAAACTCTTATATTTGAGGGTTATATAGTATTAATGGCCTGTAATCGGATGACTTCTGAGCAACTTATGAACATGCGTAGAAAACAAGGACATATGCTGATCCTAGAGTTCAGTAGCTAGAAGTCAGGAATCTTAATTTTTATAGATGATGAGAGTAAACCCAGGTAGCGCAGTTCTACTGGCCAAACTTTGTTTTTCGTCTGGAAATTTAGGGCCTTAAAACGTCCGAAGGGGTAGAGCCAAACTGGACCTTCTTTGGCCGAAGTTGCCCTAATTCGCCAAACAAGTGCCAAAGTTATGTGTGTCATAACTTTGTTATGTGGCTGTCATCTGGCATGCTTGGGCTTGAATCGCCAAACAAGTGTCAGAGTTAGGCTTCACGTTTTGTTGCACAGTTTACACGTGTCAACTTTGGGCCTTAATTGCCAAATAAGCACCAGGCCCCCTTCACTGCAGGTTCTTCAGTCTAAAAACAAAAGCTGCAGCACTTATACCCCTTGTCCCATGTATGACACTCCAAAACTTTGGTACGACGTACAGCGAAATAACGAGGAACTGATGGCACCAACTTTTACGAGAGGCTTGATGACGTTGGGTTATAACATATTAAACAGCTAAAGTACTTATCAAAGACTAAAGAAATAAAACCACTGAGGTTTTGCAGTTGGCCGAAAAAAAACCCGATTACTTTTTTTTTGCAGTGAGTCATACATACTGTACATTAGGTATTTTAATAAATTGTACAACTCGGCTACAAGCCATTCGTGAACGTTGGTACCTTCGGTTCAACGTCAGTGCGCTGTACGTCGAACTGAAGTTTTGGGGTGTCCTATATGTGACAAGGGGTGTAAAAGCTACACCTTTTCTTTTTAGAGTGTTCGGTTTACACGTGGCATCTTTGGCTCAAATCAAGCACCTTGGAAATTATCTGACGAGCCAGATAAAACCCATAAAAACGCAAAAGAAAAGTACTCTGGCGCCAACTTACACTTCGGAACAAAACCGTATTACGTCTAAATTAGGCCCCTATAGGATTGCCCAGCATGCGCCAACTAAGGTGTTTCTCTGGCATGGTACCTGGGAAAATCTCAAGATTTGAGAAATTTTGATTGGAAGAGTCAAACAAGTTAAGTACATAGGCATATTTTTTTACGAGAGTACAGAATGCCTCAGTGAGGCTGAAAATATATACAAAAACTGGCAAAGGCAGCAGAAATTCAGCAGGAAATTCACTGTGGAATTACAACAGGCATAAGGTGGCGAGAAAGGATTGGAGGAAAGTCATATGGTGTCGAGGTTGGCTTTTCGAAGTGCAGTTCTGTGTGTGAAACCGGATGTACAAGCGAAGTTTGAAGTAAAGAAGCGAGGGGTTGGTAAACTAGTTCTGGGAGGACATGATGAAACAGCAAATCAAGTTGTACAAGGTGATATGAAATAGTCCTCTGTCGAAGGCAGGGAAGCTAGTAGCAGGATTGATTTTAAAATAGAGAGTGAGAATTGGATGAGGGACGATAAGCACGGAGGTAATTTGGCTATTTGTACACGTGGAGTGTTCACAGGATGGAGGAGGAAAACTGGAAGAGAAATTTGGTGGCGGTGGAAATCTCAGTTAATAAGAGATATAAAACGCCAGGGAGGAAATTGTGGGGCAGGGCAATGCAGACTAAATCAATCTTGGGAACATATATACGTAATGCAAGATGAATATTGTTGGAGAAATTATACGACAATTATAGAAGAAGCTCGTTGTCATTTGAGGCCAGGACGGGAATGTTGCGAACTAAGATGTGAAGTCAGTGGGGAGGGGGAGGCAACGGAACACTTCATACTCTTGTGAAGTACTTCACCGTTCAGTTGCCGAAGGCAGAACTGATTTATTGTGGAGTATCTCTAAACGTCGATTTTGAATTTTGCCCCTTCTCATTTCGCCCCATTTCCATCTTAACCTTTTCATTCTAACCTTCTCAAAAATTCAAACTTTTCTTTTATTTCTTTCGCATTTAGGTCTATTCGCATTTTGTCCCGTTCGCACAACGATCGAATTGCACGTGGTTCGCATCCCTGCATTGGATCTGACGGCTTGTAGCGAGAAACTGTAGTCCACTTTAAGAAAAAAATATATTTTGGAGTGGAGGGGCACCGGCCCACTTCGAGTGCATCCTCCCGTGGCCCGGGAGACGGGGGACATACGAAGCCGGGTGCTTTAACACAATGGAGCAGTTCAATGTTTCGAGTGCACCTTCCCGCGGCCCAGCGCCTGCGATCATATCTGGACAACCCAACGAGCCGGGTACTGACCTTCCCTGCATGTTTCAAGAGCACCACGGATGCATTCCAGGGACTATTAGCCAAGCCGAGGGACGCACTCACATACACACTTGTGCGTGTGTATGTGAGCGCGTGCGTGTAGGGGAATTGAGGGGGAGGGGGGAGGGGACTTGAAGAAACTTCTTCGGGGATATATGGTGACAAAGCCAAAAACACCAACACCTCTAAGTTCCCTAATATTATTTTTTTCCCCCTTGGAGGATAAAACGCGAAAGATGTAATCAGAAAGAGAACGGACTAAAGGCGGCGGGCCCAGTCAAGAAAAATGTTTTGAGAAGGTCCAATGGGAGAAAGTCGAAACGACAACAGGTTGAAATGAAAAGCACCCTTTATTAACAGTGTTGCAATATTGTGCTGGACTGTTTCTCACTCTACGCAAACTTAATGGGTCCCAGGTATACTCGTACGCAACGCCGCTGACCAAGAAGCTGATTTGTCTTGTTGCAGTATCAGGGATAAAAGCGTACTTTTTCTTTTAATGTCTTCCTTTCAAAATCCTGACGACGTAGTCATCGTAGTGTTGGCGTAGTCACGGAGATTACCCGTGGTGACGGTATTCAAATGCGGTTCATAGATTGGGCAAGAGCGCTGTGTGAGGACTCGACTTCGGCTGGTGACAATCAATTTTTCAACGAACATTCGAGTGACAGCTCGTGTCCAATCGTTGCGATGACGTGAATAGCCAAATCCTAACAATGTACGGGACTCAGCGCGTTCCCTATGCTATTCCAACCCCGTCGCGTGGCTGTGATGAACATTGGTGACATGGAATCGTCCCCAGATCATGTGGTCGCGTGTTCTGGTTGCGAGTTGAGGGAATGAACTCTACGTTTTTTTCTAAATTATTTTTTTTCTGCGAGTGCCGTTGCTTGGAGAGATAAACTAACACGTAGTTCATAGGTTATCAACGCCAGGGGTTAATTATAAGTTATATTAACTTAAAGTAAAAAGTTTGTTGCACCACCCCTTTAATGGTGTTTGGGGTTTAAGGACAGTGACGGCAAAATGACACTTGGACGGTGGAGAGAACTTAGCGGAGATTGACTTGTGAAGTAAGTCGAGGGAAGAATACACACCCTTCTTATCGTCGCCTTAGAGCAAGTGGATTCACTTACCATCTTCTAAGGCACTTCAGGGTAGTGTACATTTGCTGCGAAAGCTTAAACCCTGGCTAGGTAGCGCCAGTCGCCCACCGATTTAAAGGCTATAGCAGTATCTATCAAATCAGCCAACAACGCATCCTTCCAATTAAATGGTACAGCGCATACTCGCTTCTAGGGCAACAAATAATCTGCATAAATTAGCACTCGATCAGTATAGTCGAGGACACCCTGGCCACGTATAACATCATCACATCGGCCAAATGAGGCTTCGAAAATGAGTTGGGCGTCCCTCCAAGTGCCGCGTTTTTCGGTGTTCTCGGACCTGGTGACGCGCAGCTGGTCGACCTACACCTGCGAGAGCCGGACGCCTGCGGGGACCTGAGCAGCGACAATGGCTTCCTGAGCTACCCGCCGCAGCCGTTCAGTCAGCGGACCCTGCTGGCCCGATTCCGAATGAACGAGAGCGAGCCCCACGTGGTGTTCGTGCGCAAACCCATTCACACCGTCACTGGCCTTCTTGGCAAGCTGGGCACGAGAGTTCTCGGAGCCAGTGTGGAGCCAGCGCCCGCCGACCATGAGCCGACCCTCGGTGTCGTCGCCACCTCTGCGGGGTGAGTTTGGAGAGCCTAGATTTGATAGAGGGAGCGACTCAAACCATGGGGAGCTTTTGCAATTTAATGACAAACGCATCCTGGGCGGCTTGATCGCTCGTGCGCATGCGCTGCGTTGTCGCGTAGTGAGGGGGAAAGCGGGCGGAGTGGTGCAGTCGCTTGCAGGCGATGAGCGCTTTGGACTCCACCTTGCAGCTCGTATTGCAAACGCGGCCCATAAACCACACTACATGCTCGTATTTGTCATACGAGCATATGCACATACTTCAATCGCTTTCAGACCATACTGTCGTGTTTCCAAATTGTAAATAAACAATTGTGTAAACAAAAAATGAAAGGCCTTTACAATTTTCCCTAATGCGAAATTGGAGCGCAGCGCTTGAGGAGGAGGGGAGGGTACGGAGGGGGGGGGGGTGTGCCTGTCCTCCCCCTTCGTGCTCTCCCCCTCCTCCTCTCCTCTTCGCCTTCCATTTAGCGGAAAATTTTCACTGAAGTTAACGCTAATTTAGCAAAACTTTCCCCGCTAAATTTAGTGGGAAATTTCGCGAGTCTAGTTTCCCAGCTAAATGTGACCGGAAAATTTCCTCGCTAGATTTAGCGGGTTAAGTTTGCCTGATAATTTTAGCGGGGAAATCGACGTCACGTGACCTCAACACCAATTCAGTTTGCCCGCTAATTTTAGCGGGGAAACTGTGACACCCCATAATGCAACGCGCGGTTACGCAGACGCCGACGGCGACGCCGCTCAACCCGAAAACGGGCTCCTGAGCGGCCTCTAAAAAAAAAAAAAAAGTAGAAGACAGAAATCTTGGGCTGCAGTTTCTTAGGGATAAAAAAAAATAATTATAAAATTAATAATAGTAATATTTATTTGCATACAGAAATGTGATCCTGGGTGGCGTGGAAGGTTGTGCAGAAAGGTTAGAGCCCGTACGCGAGTGCGGCTGCCAGCCCACCATCCAAAATTTGAATTTAAAAAAAATGGAGATGATAAAAAAATACACGCACACATATACACATGTACACAGTACATGAATTTGTACACAAGGCCATAACTCAAACTGTTTTAAAGGAAACAGGAGGGTAAAATGTAACATGTAAGATTACTCCAACATATTTATCTACACACACATACACACGCGTGCACAATCACGCACAAGCACGCACACGTACACACACACACACACACACACACACACACACACACACACACACACACACACACACACACACTGCACCACTGTCATGACTCCTGCTGCTGTAGGTGCTTTATAAACAAGCGACACATTGCCGCAGTTCTAGGTTCTATCTTCTAAGTTCTTTCACCGCCCCTGCCTGTTTCTTTGCTTTGAAAACAAGCGACACATTGCCACTGTTTTAAGTACTATCTTCTAAGTTTAATCCCCGCCCCTGCCCGTTTCTACCTGGATGAGCATCGTACCGGCCTGCGTTCGTGCATCACTACTTCAGCATGGTGCAGGTGAAAGACCCCAGGCAGGCATTGACACTCCACTGACAAAATGTTTCATTTAGAGCCTCCCACTGTCTAAACAAACACACTGCACAATCATTACGGCACTGGACAGATTTCTTATAGAAACATCACGCCTTTTAACTAACGCCCATACCTTTTAACTACGTACCAATTTGGTGTTCCCCAAATTCTTTGAGCCGGCTACGTTTCTTGGCCACGTGATGGAACGAAGTTGACATTTAGATTCTGCTTCTATGTCGCATCTTTTGAGTTCAGAGCAGGAGTCTCAAACTCATTCCGGGGGAAGGGGAGGGGGGGGGGGGGGACACCTTTCTAGGCACTAGGTCCCTAGAAAAGGGACCTGGTGCTCCCTGCATTTCGTAAACTCACCGTTTTAGCGGTGACATCTTTTGCTCTAATTTCTTTATGTGACTATTCTGGGCTCATCTCTGACATTATAACAGGATGTAAAATGACACCGCGCTGCTAACGTTCACATTTTGCTACTGGACAAGAGAGCAAGCACACTGTCGTTACCATGTCGCTCAATTCTCTCGGGGATGAATCAAATTGAACGTGCCGAGGCAAAAAAAAAAAAAAAATTTATACGACAGTTTTTGCATGCCTCACAATTTTTATAGCAGCGTTATCAGAATTTTTGTTTATGTTTTAATGGTATTTACTTCCTGCTAAGGAAACCCAAGCTCATAGATTTATATTTGGAAGTTGTTCTTGCTGAGCAAGAGTCTGTGCAGCCGAGATGTGTCCTAAAGAGCTTGCGCTTAATTGTAACAGAGTAGTGAGGTTGTCATAGAGGTAACACAAGCAAGAACTGAAAAAAAAAAAAAAAAAAACTTTATTAAGAGATAAAAAAAAAAATACGTGAGCATATGGTATAAGAGCAAAACTAGGGAACTATAGAGCGACAGATGTCCAAACAAACTCCATACCAAATATGAAATCCGGCACAGTTATGACAGACATATCAAAAATATTTTTTATGACCTATGCGTTTTAAAATTGAGAAGTCGAGTCGATTATTAAAAAAGTAATATTTCTGCCTTTTTGTTTTACTTCGGTGACCCGGAGAAGAGTGCGCTGTACAAATATTTCTTGCTTCTGCCCTAGTCTCTGGTTAAAAAGCATCAAGGTAAACTTCCACCAGCTTGACTACGCGCTAAGTTCATTTTTGCAGTTGCCACAGTCGAAATATAATACCGTTCTTCTATATATATATATATTCCTTTACTTATTACTGTAAAAATATTATTTCTTCTAATAGTATCTAATAAAAAAGAAAACAGTTGCAGGGTCTCTCTAGCAAAGAGACCAAAGGTCCTAAGGCTACACGAAGCGGTAACGAGATAATTTTTTTTTTTTTGCCCGTGTGGTTTCTTCATGTTACCGTCTTTCGAATTTGAAACTTGTACTGCCACGCCTGCGAACAGCCATGCTTTGAGCGTTTTCTTCGTGTTCGTGGTCAGCACTCAAGCAACGGGATCTCTGCTCGTAAAGGACCTGTGGTCGTCGCCTTTTGGGGCGTGGTCTTGCGTTGGCGAGCCTGTATACACGACGTTTCTCGGTGCTCTACCAATGTTTCCATAATTCTTTCCCACTTGCTCGCCAGTTGGGCTAAGAAGCAGACGCAACGCACCGTTCCGCGCAGGTCCCGGGCGCTCTCGATCCTCGTCTATTACAACAACGACTCGTCGTGGGAGCCTGGGGTCGAAGCCCAAGTGTCGATCCGTGTGCTCCTGGACAGCACCGCATGGCCGAGAGGTGCGCATCCTTTGGCGTCTCCCTCGAAGCCCGTATGCGACGTGGCCGATTCGCAGGATCGTCCTGGGCCGTCTACCAGCTCGACAACCACCTGACCAACCCGTACGCGGCCTGGATACGCCAGGGTTGTCCGCCGTTCCCCAACCGGCTCCAGATGAACCAGCTCAGGGCGAACGAGGTGAGGGGGAACCCCGATACCACCGAGAAAAGCGAAGCGTGCGCAGCCCCCAAGCGCTTGTCTCGTCGGTGGTAGTGAGGCGAGTCGCGACAGACCGGGCGAAGGCCTGCCCGCACCAACAGCCGCGACGAGCCAGTAAGCGAGCTATTCGCGACTCCAATTCATTATATAGATGGCGCCACTGGTTTTCCGAAATGGCGGTTATGGTGAGCGTCAGAGATCCGTGCCGGTATACCAGAGGCTGAGCCTGTCTACTTTGCATGGTTTCACTGAGTGACACGAATTATTCCCGCTTAGTCGAGGAAGCTAGGGTGTTATGAGTGCAGGTCACCTCCATATCCTGAAAACAAAAACGGGGATTAGCGTAATATTTACGTCAGTTGGAACGTTTTAATTCTGGAACGAAACCGAAACTAGCATCTGTTGTTTATTCAATTTCTCGGTGTAGATGTTTATTTTGGATCCTTTCATAACTAAAGATGTGTCTCGCAGCGTAGTTAATTGAACTAAAGAAGTTGTTCACGGAAAACGTGTTCGATCCAGGCACTTCAAGATATTTTGGAGAGTTCAGTGTCGCCGGAGGAAGGGTCTTTCATACACTTTAGGGGTAATATAAGATATTGTATTTGTTGAAAAAAATCAGTGCTGATATTTGTGTTCTTGCTATCTTTTTTTCGCTCAGATAATTGTCATGTGAAATAATGAACTAGGGTACTTTTAGTTGGTTCTGGGGTATTTAAATGAGTAATCCCTTTAAAATTATTTCAAAACACAAGAATATCAAAATCAATCCGAATTTTACAAAATATCGCTTCGGGTGATGAGTTTAGAATATGTTCAAAAAATGTATAAATTAAGAAACGCTGTTCTCACTACAAAAACTCAAAGACGGAATCCGAGTCAGGCAGCAGAAGTCTGTGTGTTTTTTTTTTGTTTTTTTTTTAATCAAACCGTGAGGCATAGGACTTTATATTACATTTAGTGTTTGAATGTTTGTATATCTTGATAACGATGTCATAGTTTTTCATATGCTAAAAAGAAAACAAAATGAGACTGGTGCCAATTGCAGTATGTTTAATTAACAACTTATAAAACAAAAACGGTCTAAAATCAATGAAAAATTATAGCTAATCTGAGAAATTCTTGTAAAATTACAAAATTGTAGGTAAAGCTATAAAAGTGGCAACTCTTGACAATCGGCAAAACTTCCAAAGTCGCCGCCAATCCTTCGGACCAAATGCCATAAAATAACAAAAATAAAAATGATTCTGTTTTTTTTTTAGTTACTAATATTTTTTGAACATTTTGTTTAATTAATGTTTATGCACCGTCGTTTTGGCAATCTCAGCCTTTCCAATTCGAAGGAACGCCTTACCTACTTGCTTGCAAGTCTGCTCACTGGAGCACGTTTCGTTGGCGTTGGAAACCGGTGAAAGAGTAGTGAGTTTTAGTATTGCGTATACGAGCGGACGCTAACACTGTGTGTTTGCGTTGCGTGTTCCACAGTGCGCGTGCCCAAAATTGCGGTGTTGGATTGGAGAATGGCGACGATGCGCATGCACAGCGTGGACGCAACTCTAACGCAAACGCACAGCGCTTGCGTTTTCTTCTATACACAATACCAAAACTCTCTAATAAGGTATACAATCCCATATCGGCTGCAGCACTACATTGGGACAATAGAGGGTGTGGTTTGCATTCGGAAATGACATTTCGCGAGCCATGATCGCGAGCAGTTCCACCGTGCCTGCTGAGCAGGAGAACCGGGGGACCCTCACTAGAGCGCTTCCCGTTCTGTCCGAGGGACGGCGAGCAACGAGCTGGAAACGCGATATATCGCTGAGAGGATCGGCACTCTGTTCCTCGATTATCTTGTTGGCGCCGCCATATTGCTGCTTAATGCAGAACGCGGGCACAATTGGCCATCGTTACGATTTGAAACTGCGACTTGCTGAGCTTGATAGTACGGCGTCAGGAGATGAGGCGATAACGTTGTTCTACGCCGCAAACTGTTTTAACGCTTCTAGAAAACGAAAAACGATTCTATGCGATATCAGACAAAGCTCCCGATAACTGGCAGTTATGATTTGAAGCCCCGAGATGACTCGAGTGTAGCTACTGTCAAGCATGGCTTATTTAGAAGGCTTAGCGCCACGGTCACGCCCCCCCCCCCCCCCCCCCCCCCCCCGGGACGTCTTTTTTTTTTTGGCGGGGGGGGGGGGATATGACGTTTTTTTTCGGCCTCGCATTGGGTTGTTTCCAACCCAATGCGAGGAAGATTTCTCCTTGCCGCCGGACTTTGGCCGCAAGAGGGACGCTTGGTGGTGCAGTTGTAAGCGGACGAGTGCCGTTCAAGCACGGCGTCCGCCACAGAAGACATGCACGAGACGTGGATCCGTCACGCGCTTTGGTGTAATCGGCCCGGCCCCAGTTGCGCGACTTCAAAATTCTTGACACCCTCGACTGTTTCCAGGAACCCCGATTGGTGTCGTTCGGCTCGAGCCGGGCGGGCGACTCCGAGCTCCCGGTCGAGTTGAGCGTGGCGCTGCCCGGCGCAGCCCTGCTGGTGGCGTGCGGCGGCCCCTCAGCCAAGCCCGCCGCGCCCAGGGACGTGCGCGTGCACCGCGTGGCCAGCAACCGGAGCCTGGTGCACTGGCGGCAGGCACGCGACGGCTGCACCAGCGGGTACCGCGTCCTCTTCTCGGCCAAAGTCGGGGGCCCCTACGAGCCGCTCGGCGCCGGGGAGCCGCTGTTCCCGTCACTCTTCGTGGACTGCCAGCTCCTACCGGAGTCCGCGGCCTGCCGGGGTCCCGGCTTTCTCCGCGTCGCTGCTCGGGTGCTGGGAGCAGGTCGGAGCGCGCTTTCGCGCCCCGTGCCCTGCGCCCTGGCCCACGGGCCCTAGCCGTGCCCAGACGACGGGGAGGAGGGGTCGAGCTGCCAACAGAGAGTGCGTCAGCGGCGATCGCCGTCTAATTGGAGCAATTAGCCCATGGCGGCGAGTAATGGCGTCCCCCGGAAAAAGCAATCTCGAGGAGAACACTGTTGACCGAACAAATTGAAGAGCCCCGCGCAAACAAGCCCCGAGCGCTCCATTGAGCGGCTGCCATTTGCATGAGAATGGCCGACGGCGGCGACGGCCCGCGCGCGCGCTGTCGAATATGCAGGCGCCCCGAGAGCTTGGTTCGGGTCGCCTGCGTCTTTAATTTTCTGCCCGGGTGAAAGGACCGGAAAATTGGCTTCTCCCGACCTGCGGGTCGCTGGCGGCTCTCCGCGCCGCCGGCTCCGGGCCCAAAGGGACTCGCGGCGGGGACCCGAGCTGCGGGCCGCCGCCGCCAGGCTCGGGCCGGCGCTGCGGGCGCGTGACGCCAGCGAGGCGGGTCCTGGGCGGAGCGCGGGCCCGGCCGCGTCACGTGCGGTGGCACAGGAGCGCGGGTGGAGCGCCATGCAGCAGCAGCAGCAGCAGGGCTGCGCAGCGCCCGCCGGCGACCAGCCCTGCTCGTCGCCCAAGCAGCCCACGGCCTTCTCGGTGGACGACATCCTCAACCCGGCCAAGTTCACGGGCAGCCGTTTCCGCTGGCTCGGGCGCCAGCTGCTCCTCGACCCCGGCGAGTGGAGCGACGACCCACGGGGCAGCGACGACGACCGGCCGCCTCGGCTCCAGGAGCCCGAGTCCGCCAAGAGCAAGCTGTCGTGCAAGAAGAAGCCCGAGGCGTCGCCCAAGGCCGGCAAGCCCCGGCGAGCGCGCACCGCCTTCACCTACGAGCAGCTGGTGGCCCTCGAGAACAAGTTCAAGACGACGCGCTACCTGTCCGTCTGCGAACGACTCAACCTGGCGCTCTCGCTGCGCCTCACCGAGACCCAGGTGAAGATCTGGTTCCAGAACCGGCGCACCAAGTGGAAGAAGCAGAACCCGGGCCTCGACGCCAACAGCCCCGCGCTGCCGGCGTCGCCGCCGCCCCCGAGCCCGTTCGCCGCCGCAGCGGGGGCCCTGTACGGGCCCTACCTGGCCCCCTACTCGGTCTTCTCGCAGCCGGCCCTCCAGCCCTACTTCCCGTCGTAGCGCCTGCCCGCCACGTCCCCTTGTACAGTCGCAATAAACGGTGCCCGCCAGCCCAGGTCAGCGCCTTTGGCTCCCCGGTCGCGGAGGCCTCGAGCCCCGCTGCCGCCGCGTTCCCGCCGCCCCACGTCTCGGTGAGCGCCTGCCCGTGTCCCGCCGAGCCCTGCATGCGCTCAGCAGCGAAAGTCCAGCCTCGGGACGACCGGCCTGCCCCTTCGAGGCCGCGCTTACGCTGCTGCATGTGCCGCGGGCAACGGCTCGAGGGGAGACGGCCTCTCCGTCGCCTCGGCTCTGCGCGAGACCACCTCGGGAGGGCCGGAGACGCTCGAGGTCCCTCGGAGTTCGCGGCAGGGTGGACCTCGTCTAGCTCGTGCCTCAAGTGTCGTGGCGATCGGAGAAGATCAACCGAAAACGGTTTTTTGTCATTTGTAGTTCGAGGGGAGAAAATCCAGAAGTACTTGGCGGAAATAGCGGTACTTTTAGTAAGATGTCGTGCTCGTGTATACAGACAATCGCTCTGAGGGGTCAAGTAGTCGTTGTAATGAACCATTCCTTCGTCATATGTTATTTGCAAATCCAAATAATAATCCCATATGCGACGAGCATATTCGTAAATAGCATTGTATTCCACTGCATTGAACACGAGCAAGTTGCCGTTTTCGGGGTTTGTGCAATGGGGGTTCACGGAGACAATGCCGAGGCGACGGTACCGCCACAGTACATTTCGTGGGAGGTAGACATGCGGATGGCTTTCTAGACGTGCATTATCTCACTTCTTATCCGCACCTGAACGCCAACTGAGATGAAGCGTGGTTCGTGTTAACGTCGAGATCGACCATTTCGTTTTCTACATTTGCTCCATAATCTATCTCAAGTGCAACGGTGTGGGAAAGGCGGACGCGAGCGCCTGGTTTTAAAGTGTGCTTTTCTTGGGCGGGTTCTCGTTCAAATAAAGCATGCTGCAGAGCTAAGGAGGCGCTCCCATGGTGTTGATAGCGCTGCGGGCAACTTACGAGACGGAGTAGAGCTTCGCCTAATGCCTGTGTCCGACCGCCCGTTTTCCGTGCACGATGCGGCGAGCGAAAGCGTTCCCCTAAGCTGACTTCTCCACATTACGTCTGTGCTTGCGGGGAAACTAACTCGAGAGGGAAAGGCGTCACATTTACGAAGTGTTCGTTTTCTTTTCCCATTCCAAGCTCGCTAATGTGGGCATCTTATCTGCACTTGGTACCAGAGGTAATAAGATGTACATTTCAGTCAGATTAAGCATAGGTGCTTAGAAATGCTCGCGTTTGTTTTTAGGATTTCAGCGGTACAATCAACTCGAACGATTTCGTACTGTCGTAGGGGTCATGAATTGGATATCATTTCGTCAGCCATGTCAATACTCTGTGCTCCGCTGGTAGGAACTTTACAATCATGTTTAACGCACTAAGTCTACGTAGAACACGCGCGTGAGTTACGATGCTTGTTTTGGAAGTGTTTTAAATGCACGAGTGTGTGTGGAATCGAAAGTAGTTTTAAGTTCAGTTAAATTAAGTGCCACTTTGAGCAAAGTCATCTCGCCCCTAGCGTGGGATTCGTGCGGAGTCGTATTGCAAGTTTTAATGATTTTCACTCTCATACACAGTCGCCATTATTAAGCGAGTTTGTCGAAGTTAGTTAACTCATCCGTTGTATCTAGTGTGAAGCATCAAGAGCAGTAAAAAAAAAAAGCTGTTTAAAATGAAAAGTATTTTTAAATGAGTAATAGTAGATAGATGTCTACTAGTTTTCTGAAAAATTATATAATGCCGTAATACAAAAAAAGCTACACTTGCTTTCAGCCTACCGTATAGCTCAAGCGTCATGTGCGATAGCCATGTCCGCATTAGCTTTCTTGATCTAAACAAAATCGTGGATTTCCAGTTAGTCTTGAGGGGAACCAATAAAAAAGACCGAAGCCAACCGTTCCCATTCCATCTCGATTCAAGGAGTATCGTCAACGATCGTTCCTTTAAAAAACGATTCCACCTATTTGAGCTCACGGCATGGAGCTTTCCGCAACATCACCATCAAGGTCTGAGCAAGACACTTTGACCTTAGTAGGGCTGTGCGAGGACCCCCTCGAGGAGTTAACTTTGACGGACAAAGCGAAAAGGCTGGGTCTGCTTCTTTTTGGTTTCGGCTTCTGATGCATCACCATAGCCATTGACGTAAAACTAATTAATAATGTCTCGTAATGCGCCCTTACTAAGTTGGCAAGAATATTACCGAAACATTTATTCATTAATAATGTCTCGTAACGCGTTCCTACTAAGTTGGCAAGAATATTACGGAGAAAATTAGTATTTTGCGTGCCAGCGAGTTGGCCATCGTCGTTGCCGTCATCTGCGAATGACACCGGGCTCGTTCGATTTACCTGTACGAGACTACACCGGTGGAGAAAATCAGAAAAGTGCTAAGCAGTGTACTTCGGGTCTGTGTTTTAAGATAGGCAGGTCTCGTGAGTACGATAGGACGGTGTGCGCCCGGTGCATCAGGTGCAGGAGGTGTGGGTAAATCGAACGTCGCAACTATTTCTCGCCGCGCAGCGGCAAGCAGTTCGAAGCGCCATTCCATGAAATGGAGTGCACTCAATAGTCACAGATGGGCAAGTTGGTACTTCATCTCTTTTGGAAAAATGCGCCGCAAGACAGGGGCAGAGTAAGGGAGACAAAACGAAGCGCTACTTTCAACTAAATGTTTCAATAAATATTTAGTTGAAAGCAGCGCTTCGTGTTGCCTCTCTTACTCTGTCCCTGTCTTACGGCGCAGTGTGTCAAAAAAGGAATGAAACCGGCACTGAATTTGCCAGTCTGGCGCTAATTCTATAAGGACTCAACAACACAATCCTTAATTCGTGAAAAAAAAAAGTTGGGAAGCGCAGTTGTGAACGCACAACGTTAGAAAAGGTCCCACGCTCGTGCCACAAGTGCGTTGGGCGGAGGTAGGCGCTCGTGTAGCCTTGCTTTTGATTGCACTTATTGATACCGCATACATAGTATGACCCACCGTAATTCAACGCAAACACAACGTATAGCGGTGCGGGTGCACTGTACCGATTTCCAACTGTTAGAGGCGAGAAATGAGTGTGGCCTCGTTCCGCATTTCGACCAGGCACGAGACACTGGTCGTGAACATAATTAGTTACAGCTTTTTGGCGGCCCCGTGGTATCGTCGTCTAAGCCCGCGCGGTTGACTGCAGGAGTTTGTACCTCCATTACGAAGGGACCACCTGCGTAACGTCGTATATATTTCGGAAAGATTGTTCGATTCACTTAGTGCGTGTGTCCTGTTGTCCTTCGTGCTGCAGTGCAGATGGCGCGCTCTCTCAATCCGGGGTCACACTGCTCTTATACATAATCCAAAAGACAGTCTGCAAACACGAGTCACCGCAATAGCCCTGGTTCGAATGCCGAGTGCCCAAGTTCCTCCTTGAACTCATTGCCATGCGGCATTCGAAGCAGGGATCTCACGGCGACTCGCGTTCGCATCCGTTTGCAGACCCTTTTATATAATGTATAAGCAGTTCGACCCCGGCTTTCAACTTAGAACGCCTCGCATAACTCAGAAGTTATGTCCAACGCGAATGTCTTGAGATGGCAAAGTGTTGGGCCATTTGACTTCCCCTGAAGTTTATCTAACTTGTGAGGAAGTATTGCACGTGGATGGAGAAGTGACTGAGGATGTGTTGGCTTATTAACATTTTATAGAGCAACTGTTTTTGAGACCAAAAGACTAGCAAGTTTTATTGGACACACTCTTAAAATCCGTCACGTGTGACCCAACTGCGGTTAGGTTGATTTAATTGTCGGTTCGCGTGGTGTTCTTGGGATACGTGCACTAAACACGCTTCGTCGCGGATAAACAAAGCTCCCCTTGCTCATATAGTGTACGAAACGACAACTTGTTGTGCTTATACTGTCATTGTGTCCACGAGTTCTGGAAGAGCAGGGCGGTTTGGAGAACTTAAGCGATGATCCCTGAAAATTGAAATAGGCTTCATTTCTTGGTTTTGCTTTTTCGAGGGCGGATTCCCTCTCTTTTTTTGGGGTGCGCGCTTTTCGTTGCTTGGCAAGGGGCAAGCAGAATCATTCAGTTCGTACGCTTGCCTGTTATCTGTTTCCAAAAGCACCTTCAAGTGTAGTGGGTGTTTGTTCACTAAGAGCTCGTAGGATTATGATTTAAGTTGTTTTTTTTTTTGTTTTTTTGGTGGCGCCCGTGTTTGTCGGCGGGCACAAACGTTTAGTTGATGCCAAGCACTGGAAGCCGTGTCGTTTACGTACAAAAATGCTACGATTCTAGCGAGTCATTTACAATGCCTTGAACTACATCGTAGATTGAACTCCTAACTTCAGTATAGGTTTCATCTCAGCTTCATTTTTTTTTTTCGCAAAGCTACGAGGTGCACGGTACTCTCCAGTCAGTGTCTAATTCGCGAAGTGTCTGTAAAGTCGTCGATAATCTTGCCGTTTTCGTCGAAGATGTTTATAAACAAAATATTAATCCCAAACGCTCATATTAATTAAAAAGTTAAAAGGCGCGAACAAAATAGGACTATGAAAGACACAGGTACGACACGGACAGCCGCCTGTCCGTGTCGTACGTGTGTCTTTTTTCGTCCTGTTTGTGCGCGCTTTAACCTTTTAATCGATATGAACCAGCTAGCCCCAACCAAAGTTGTATTGTATTGTTGCTCATATTACAGTGAAAGCAAAGGTTGGTTTGTTCCAAAGGTTGTCGATGACCTCGGATTACAGCCGTCAATATTTCTGGCGGATATAATATCAGTGAATCGAAACTTGATACTGCATTGCTTAGTGCATGACTTTTCCCGGGAGGTCATTAAACGTGTCTTCAGTCTATTTTCTAGCAAGCAAACTCAACGTGTACATACCGTTTTTTTTTTCATGCTCATTTTTTTTAAAAGACATTGTAAACAAAGCAATTATTTCTGCAGAATAACGTTATCGACAGCGGCGGATGTCACTGCACAAGTATAAATAAACAATTACTGGTGGTTTAATTAACTAAATTTTGCTAACTCTTAAGCTATTAGTTTTAGGTGTCATGTTTTAATTGGAGATTTTTCAGCCCGACGTTCGTATAGGTCACATAACTTGTTAGAGTTTAGAAGAAGAAAAAAATATTCTGCGAGTTATCATGTTGTAAAGTTCTGTA